AAATATTTAAAAAAACGTGTAAAACACGACACTTAATTGTTAGACCGTTAAGTGTCAGAGTAAGGCACAAAGATACTGACAAGTACTTTAAAATATTTGTACGTTGTACGTTAAACATGCATCTAGTGAAATAGTCCGTTTAAATACAGCAATGAAAATAAAGGTAAAGCAAGAGCCTTATTCTCGAAGACAATGGCTTTTCGAAGTGAACGGGAACTTCCCGCCAATTGGGCTATAATGACGAATTTCCTAGCGTCAACTTGTACCACTTTGCCCAAATAATAGAGTGCCATTCTAGTGACTTTTAGTATACTTGACTTGAGCAATGGATGGCGTCTGTATTTTTGTGTTGTAAGTATAAGGTTATACTATGAATAGTATTATAAATTGGAACTTCACTTGTCTGTTTTGCTTCTTATCGGAGGGGTAAGAAAAAAAGATAAAATCCAGAATAGTTTTTATTCATCATTGAGGTACCAGGCCCGTCAAATATAAAAATGCAATTGAACACTATTCTATTCGGTATAAATGGCACTATACAATCAAAAAGAAAATACAATGATACCATACTACTTACATACTTTTACTTTTAATGCAAAAGCTGCTCAATAAATAACAAAATCCCGGTTTTCGACCATCCGAGTTTAAATTCTACCATACGAGTCTAATGTTTGTTCAAAGCAAATCCATTTCAACATAATGTTTATTCAAGGGAAATATCAACGAGAGTAATGAATGCCACTCAGAGGTGCTAAATCTAAAAATCCATATTTGTAGTGAGTGAAACAATAATGAATATATATTCAACTAAGACTTCGCAGCTCTATGCCTGTGTAGTTGAAAATTAATTTGATTTGAACGCTGCTAACTCAAACGCCAGTAAATGTTGATATGAGGAAAATACTCATAATGCTGTTGAAAATCTGTGAGTGTGTGTGCAAAGTGACTTGTTCCGTTTACTCAGTCATTTCTACTTTAGAGGAAATGTCCTTACTATAGTTTGTGTTTTGATATCCTTCGTTTTTGAATGAGTTTGGTATGTTTGTTTCACGGGGTTTAATTACACTTTCTACACAATCCAACGTTAAATTTACCTTAGCTTTTCCCTGAGTACGGCTTTATAAATAAGTGGCAATATAGCTAGCCATAAGTATACGCATTTGGGTAAGTACCTATATATATATATTGAACCCAGAAAATCTCCAATAAATAATTGGTTGGACAAAGTATCTGTAGCACGAATCTCCTCTTTATTTTCCAAATCTCGTAATCCAATGGTTCTTCCTAAATCCAACCACTTTGTGTCCGACCCCATTTCAATTACAGTAACATTATGTGCAATATTTCATTATCTATTGTGAGCATTACATGTAATAAAAAAATGCAAGAAATATTTTCATGGACATTAAAATTTAGCCCACGTACTGTTATAGTAAGAAATCACTATTTAAATTATCCTGTTAAGTAGTACAGTGTCACAATATATCATACGTATCAATGACACAATCACAGTAAACCCATATATCGACCGTAAAAACTAACTTTACTACACTGAATGGTTTATGTGGTCCACCACTTTTATTTACTTTACAGATTCCATTTATTTTGTAAATTGAACCATGTGTAAATATACATAAGATTCTAATTAGTAGCTAACGTGTAGTGCGGCTAACAGAATAGTAAATTTTATGCTTGTCATTTAGTCTGTATTATTGGAAATATTCGATTCGAAGTTCGGTAACTCTTTTCTAATTAATTTATTAACTTTTGGTTTGCCGCTGCAGTTGTTAGACACCATAAAAGAGACATTGTGTTTGCGTTTCGGTTTAGGAATACACGATGTTAATAAAATTTGAAAATCTTGCCTATCAAGCGTATAATCACGTATTACTTAAATCAATACCGAAAATAGATTATAAATTATATATATATAATATTTACACACATATATCTCTATTCATATATATAAATATAAATAGAGAATAAATTAATTGAAGGCTAGGCTAGCCCGTGTCTTGTAATATAAACAACTTCTTTTAAACTGAATAAACCTAGAAATTGTAAGTAAAAACACAGGAAAGAAACATAAAGCAATATCATTTTAAAAGCAAAGATTCTTCTTTACTTAAGAAAATTAAGTGTTTATTATTTTGTCTTTGTGTTGAAAGTATATCTGATATTTTCTTTACTTTGATGCTTTTCTCCACAAGGTTATATCTTGCATATAGTACTAACAGAATCAAAGCGTATCTAAGTATCTTTACTTCTTGTAAGAGCTTGGTGGAGGATGTAAATTGAATTCAAATAAGTTCAAATTAAAGTTCATTATTAGAAAGGTCAGAGTTGTTGTTCCTCTTTACTTAAACAACTTTGTTTCTTGAGATGCCTTGCTATGGCAGGGTGAATATGCAAGAAAATTTAATTTATGCATCGTAGAACATGATGTTTCCTTGTTATGGTAGAAAATTATGTTAGGTATGTTAAAAATGTATTACGGAGAAACTAAGCGTACCTGTCCACGTTGCGTCATTGGATGAATGTTTGTATTTTTGACAAATAATAGGCAGTTAACGTTGCCGCTTTGTAGACAATTTAATTTGTTTCTGAGCAAGCATTTGTGCTTTGTGGAGGATGCATGCGATCGTCAAATGACGCGACGTGTTCACGTTCTGTCCAGTAGGTCTAAGTGACATTCTATGTTGTGACAATACTAGTTATAGATAACGCCTCATTTTTTTAGGTTAGTTTATAAGAAATTTATTTGGAGTGTTGAATACAGCTAGTTAAACTTCAATACTGAAAAATATCCCACAATTTTTGCATAAAACAGTAAGCACTTATGGTTTCTCGGATGATTAATAAATAAAAAGTCGTTTGTAGTTCATGTCAACTTACATGGTCTTTGTGAAAGCAACTCGATGCATTCTTCATGCAAAATCGATGGCAAACTGTTACCATAACGTAACTTGTATTTACTTAGGTACAAGTCCACTAGTTTAACTAGACTGTAATGAATTGAATTTTCAGTTAATAATACCTATATCGATTTGTAACGTGTAGTTTGTCAAGTACTTATTAAATAATTCTTACTAATGATGCCAACAATGTTTAGGGTTACCTACTATTGCACGTCTTTAACAATTCAGATTTAACTTATGAAAAGTTTGGTAATATATATTTTATATAATTTAGTAGTGACTCTTTAAATCTGTAGTTGTACTAGTTCCTGGGCCTGCCAGTGTAGAGTGCATTCTTAACTATTTCTTAGCCTCTTGAGATGCATGAACTCAACCCATATATTTTTATTTACCTTTTATTTATTTGCACTGTGACAGAAAATGTCTATACTTTCCGAGTGATCCTATATCCATTCCCATTGGAATTGTGAAACGTGTTCTGATAAAAGCATTCTTAGGACGTGTCCAGTTCTTATGAGTCCATTCTGAATTCATTGTGAGATATACTCGTCTGAATTTTTCATATCGCAAACCGCTAATATGGCGCATCGCCGTCCGAAAACTTCCACACACAACCTGCATCTTGTCACACAAAGTCAATGGTCGAGGGTTTATAGTCAAGCAACGGCAATTAGTCAGAAAAAGTATGCAATTTGTACAGAGCTGTGGCTTCGTTAAAATATTTCACACAGAAACCAGGTAGAATTTAAGGTTTATAGGTCGACAGAAACGTGTGACTGTATTGTTTGATGAACGGCACTGCGACAGTTCACAAAGATTATTTGACATTTTAAAACTCTTGTCAATTAGGTATATTAAATGACATTCGTGCGAGTCGCGTATCACCGGTTTAAAAATAAACGTTCTATAAATAGTTATTTAACAAACAATACTTATAAACTTAAAGTACCTATTTAACTTACTTACATATCAAATGACGTCGATAGATTACAAAAACGTTTATGGGTTAATATCAATAATTTTCTAAACGTGTAGCTACCAACTAGACTATAAATATAGTCCATTTTACAAGATATACCTATTATAAGTCCAAAACTCATTCTACGCAATAAGTCATATTAAGCCCACCGTAGGGAGGTGTACCTCTGTAGTAATTTCTCGTTGTATCTTGGTAAGCTAATAAAAACTAATCAGTTCGGTAATCCTGGATTTTGTTACGTTTCAATTAGGCTTAGTACAAATGATGCAGATTACTTAGAGATTATAACGGTCTATCAATTTAATTTCGTTAGAAACGGATGCTTGTACGCCCTTGTTATACGTAGGGTCCATCAATTTTAATAATAAAACCGTAATACTTGGCCACGTTCTAATATATACGACTAGCGATGCATAGCTACACGATATTTATTATGTTAGTTTATTATTACTGAATGAATTGTTCTCTACCTTACTCGTTTTGTTTAATTGTCCTGTCGTATATTTTCAGCTTGCTCAAGTTTCTTTGTAGGAAGCTTTGGTAGTAGAATTATATTATTTTTATTTATAGTCAAAATTATAGTTTAAATATATTGACTTATTAAACATGAATAACAAAATTAAATGTGATACGGTACTCTAAATAGTATAAAATATAGCTGAATACCTCTTATAAAGTCTTAAGTCTAAGCTCCTTATCTCGAAGACGCTAAAAAACTTTAAAGGTCACGTGTGAATATAAAAGCATTGGAAGAAGGAAAATGCAAAAGCATCTTATTCAGTTTATGCACCTCGAGCCACATAAAGCCCTATTGATACTCTGTTTTCAATGTCAGTTTGTCAAAGACTTCTACAACAAAGACAAAACGTAAAGTTTCGTATTTTCTTTCTGGTACTCACTTCTAGGAATATACAAATATTACTCAAACAATGTTTTGTTTTGAACATGAAAGTGTTGAGACATTCAATTCTAGGAATAGTTATCTTTTCACATATGGATTTATGATTCCCACCATTTCAACATTTTCCACATTGAACTATTATATTCTCAAGTCAGTTGGTTAAAGGTATTCTGAAAATTTGAATTAAAAGTAAAATATTTACCTGCAGCAGGCCGTAACGCAGCTCTATATCCAGGAAGAAGTACTCTTTGGCGTGGGGTGGAAGATGAGGAGTAGAATTCAAGATCTGCTGTTGAGCGCTCGGCGGCCCCAAGGTTATAGGATGCGGCATTACTGGAGGCGCGTGTCCGGGCAGTACGTTGCACTCCTACAAAATAGCTTAACGTTAGTACATTTCATTCGTGAGACACATTTTAATCTTAGATTTTTAAATTAGTCACGTCACTGCTACCGTCCTACGTAGCGCCTGGCTACGCTGAGCGTAGCAAACCGCTACGATTTTCGTAGCAAATATTTTTGAGGTAGGCCGATAAAATTATGAGAAACGTAACATAAAATTAAATACAATTTTTTGTTCTTTATTGAGTTTCTTACATAAAGTTCAAGAAGTCGAAAAGTCGGTTTAAAGTATAATAACAGGACGAGAAGTATAAACAGTGTTTTGGCATTGGTATACTACACAATACGTTACACAATAATAAGAATTAAGTTGAATAAAAGTTAGGCACCGCTTTGTTGGTCGTGTGGTTACTAACGCGACAGTCAAGAGGTCCAGGGGTCAAGAAGTATGGCAATAAGCTAACCCACACGGGAGTCAAAAGAGAACTGGTGAAAGTCGGTGTTATTTACATTGTATACGTGCACTTCGGCCACTCTTTCAGGGATTAAGAAAGGTGACGTTACGAAACGTTACGAAAGGTGATATGATAAGCCGGTAAAGACAAGCATACACATCACCTGATGGTAAGCAATTGGTGCCGCCTATGGACACCTAAAACACCAGAGGCGTTAAAAGTGCATTACCGGCCTTTTGGAAATTGGGAATTTGAGGATTGTGGGGGATTCGGAGATTGGAGAGACTGGGTGGTAATTGGGTCTCCGGTAACCTCACTCATACGACGAAACATAATGCAAGCGTGGTTTCACGTCGATTTTCTGTGAGGTCGTGGTATTACTCCGATCGAGCCGACCCATTCGTGTCAAAACATGGCTCTGCCACACTTGTATGTAAAAATATAAGGTATAAAGTAAAAGTTACGCATTCCCAAAAGTAGGACCGAAGTCTATACTGTTATTTTAGAACACAGCCATGTGACGCGGGCAGGCATCGTCACGAGAGCGTGACGTGCACGTTTAATGAACCACAGATTAATGATATAAGTGCTGTGGTCGGTTCGTATTTACGTAAGTGTGTGTGTGTGGCTTTACAGATGGTGCTGCTCAAGCTACGTAAACCACCAAAGCAGGGCAATATAAACGCTATCACAAAGCTGACGTCATTGCAGTAGATGGACCAGAAATGTTTATTAAAAATAAAAGTGAGTGTAAATACTACAAAAGTTAGTTTTTGAAAGTTAGGCATTTAAAATTGCCGTCATAAAATGGCATTGAAGAATATTGTTAGATTATTTATATATGACATTTTTATGGACAGTTTTCAAGTCCATGTGTGAAACTAGAGGTACATTGGATCGAAATGTGTGGAAATACGTGAAAGTGCTTCTTGCATACTAACCACAACTTCTAATCAATTTATAGTTAACTTTCTTATTTGAAATTTAAACTCGTGTGCTAAGTACATTTTATTATCTAGTTCTATTATCTAGTAGTCACTATGCAAACCTTTTACTCAACAAACTCCAACGATAAATCCAATCCAAGTGAAGTGATTGGAATTTTAGACGGTCGCGTCAGCTATTCTTAGTTCTATGCTTTACGGAAACTCAGTGACAAGCAATTTGTCTCTGGAAGATGTACTAAATTAAAGTACGGATATATAAATAGCGCTATCTACAAGACGTATTCACCATAGATTTATTATTTATTCTTATCATTATTTATTTAATTCAGACAGGCAATTAGGGTGACATTAGTCATTCGCGCGTTATTTTGTTAGTTCTTGATTATAAAATTAGATTATATGTTATTGAAATGATATGTTAAATGGTTTATAAATGTTCTTGCTACACTATAGTCTAGACAGTTATCTATTAGACGTAAATACGTAGCTGATAGATAATGAAAATTGACGTGTTCGAAGGCTTACAGAAGATACCTCTCGTCAGTAGGTCGTAGCTCTCTAATATCGTTAGAATCCTATGCTATATTTCAATTTTGATCACTAATAATGAATTTAAGCGTGACTAAGATATCGGATGTAAATAATTTCAACGATAGCAATTTGATTATACACTCTAAATCAATTTCAGACCTGAAATAGTAGTAATATCTAGTTCTTGGGTATTTATTTGTTCATAAAATAGACCCTAACAGACTAACAGGAAAAATATTTATTTATTTACGTATTTTTCAACTAAATCACATTTCAGAATTCATTGATAAAATATCTAACCTACCTACTTGAAAAAGTAAATGGAATCTGAATTAAATTATTGAGACCAGGGTAATAACAGGGTTACCTATTGTGATGGCGGCGACCCCTGTCATTCTATTTTGTAAATCTTTCATATAGCAATTATTAGATAGGATTTTCTAAATAGGTTTTATTTTTGTGCAACACAGATGCAATACAGATCAGTTATCAAAAGATTTTGTGTGATTTATGGCCTTTTTTTTTTTTTTTTTGAGGGGGGAAAATCATCCAATGACTTCTCCCGCCTGGGTGAGGCGGGAGGGAGTGTCAGACTCTTACTGACTAAAAACCACCCCGTTCCTACTCCTGCACTACGAGCCGGAGCCCTGGCAACCCGTTAAGTCTTCCGCGGCTCCGTATCGGCATCAGCCTTGTTAGGCCCCATCTGTGGTGGTCTGATGGCTCCTTGAGGCGCGCGCGGAACGCGACGCGCCGTACGCTCGGGCCTGGTTCTGGTCGGGCGGCGAGTCACCCATGCTCGCCGTCCGCAGGCCCGTGCTTACGGTGGCCGGAGATCGTCTCGCGATCCCCGACGCCCGGAGTGTCTCTCGCGACGGCCGGGTCGTGAGGAGGTTCGTTCCTTCACGCGCTCCGCCTCCTCCTTAGCTAGCATGACTGCTTCGCAGAAGGAGGAGACGGCATCCCAGTCCCCCTCGCTCCGTACCATGGTCTGAACCAGAGCCGGACGCGAGAGGTCGCCGTCGCCGATCACATTTCTGAGGACACGGCGGTGCTCAGTCCACGCAGGACACACCGCCACCGTATGCTCCACCGTGTCCTCCGGGCGATCCTCGCAGTGATGACACCCGGGCGTTTCCTCCCGCCCAATCCGAAACAGGAACCTACCGAAACTTCCGTGTCCGGTAAGCACCTGCGTCAGGCGGTAGGTGAGGACGCCGTAGCGTCTCTCAAGCCACTCCTCAAAGAGGGGACTTACCGCTACAATGACAGCGAGCCCAGCCTTCGGTTGCGACAGTCGTTGCTGCCATTCCGCCATGAGATCACGCCGGAGCTCATCCCGCCACGCATTAATCTGGCGCGGCAGCGGAGTTTCGCCCCGGCGACGTGCCTCCGCGCGCAAACAAAACACGCGCGCGAGCACCTTCGCCTCCAGATCCCACGGCGGTAATCCGGCAAGGAGGTTCGCCGCCTCCCCGGAGATCGTGCGATATCCGCGTGTCAATCGGATCGCCATGACCCTCTGTGATGTTAGCAGCGCCCGAGCCGGCCGCCGCATCAGGTTCGGCGCCCACACAGGGGCGCCGTAGAGGGCCATGGACCGCACGACCCCGGCGTATAACCTCCGGCAGGAGGCAGTTGGCCCCCCGAGGTTGGGTAGGAGGCGCTTAAGCGCCGCCCCCGTCCTTTCCAACTTAGGAGCCAAACGTCGGAAATGCTCCACGAAGTTCCACCGACTGTCGAGGACGAGTCCTAGGTACTTCATCGTCGTCTCGACGCCGATGGTAACTCCTCCCGCCGTTAATTGGGACTCACCCGGAGGTGGCGCGTTCCCGCGGCCATGAAAACACATGGCCTCGGACTTGTGGAGCGCCACTTCGAGTCCCAGTTGCCGGATTCTTTCAACGACTGTCGTAACCGCTCTCGCCGTTAAATTAGCCGCCGCCTGATGCGACCTCCCGTGTGCTAACACCAGTGTGTCGTCAGCGTAACAGACCACGCTGACGTTGTTCGGGAGATCGGTGCGCAGCACCCAGTCATAGCCGATGTTCCACAGGAGCGGCCCCAGAACCGAACCCTGTGGAACACCGCGCGACGTCTCTCGCCGGTTCCACTCACCTCGGTGGTGATTTATGGCCTACGACCACGACAGCGTGGTGCTACATATAATCAACAGTATTTTACTGGATTTAAAGCACGCGATACAACGACTAGCAATATTCACGTATTGAATATTTTCAAGACACACAAATTATTACGGTAAAAGTTACATTTAGATTCCAGACTCTTGTCTTCACAAATCATATTTAATTTATTATTCAGTAGCGAATACCTAAATTGAAGACCTTGAAAACATTATAGATATAAAAAATATTAGAAACTATTCATTACATTTTAACAGATATTTCAACAGGTTAAACCTATCAGTTTATAAGCACCACTTTACTAATTTTGGTACTAAGATAATACTAAAAGCGTTTTTATCAAGGTCAAAGATTTTGCTTAAGAATCAAGGTTAGCTATAACAGCTTTCATTTCATGTAGGAAAACTGAAGTCTCGGGCGGGGCCGCAGGCTGAGCTATTAACAAAGCCAAATAGGAAAATTAGGTGCCTTTATCTTGAGAACTGAATGTATACTAATTTAATACTACAATTTTATTTGTCATAAAAGTGGTTGACAAACCATGGACTGACTTTTATATTTACGCGATGTATTTCTATAAAGATTCCTCTAAAATGTATTCATAAATTTGTTTACTTTTGAATTTCTTAGAACTTCTTGGATGAACGTACGAAGTTTGTATGGTCGGACGCCACAGTCTATGCAAGATACGGGTTGCAAGATTTATTCATCACGTTCACGAAGCGAGGAAAATAATATTAATTTGTTAATGATGTCGTCTTACGGTTGCGGTTAAAACAAGCCTTTGATACATTATGGTTGGATTCCAACAAACGTTTTATAATGAAGTTAACATGGCGTTTGCGCTAAATGTATCAAAATAATTACCAGATTAAAATATTTTAATGAAATACAACGACTAACTGATAGCTTTCTGTTAATCTATTTCAGTCTATCTATTTGAACAAGGCC